AACTTTATTTTCTATTTGTTGAAATAATTTATTGACAGTAGATATCAAAATTTTGAAAGAATCATTTTTATTAAAATGTTTGAACACAAATCATATATAGGCTTTCAAGCATAAAACCCAAAAGAAAGAGTTCTATTATAGAAGCATATCTGTGTTTCTCAATTTGAAGTTCTCTACATTCACTTTTTTTTCTCTTTGAGTTCATTGGTACATTTTAGGTTTACATTACAGTTGCATTCATCATTGGAATCTTGAACCTTTACATGACAGATCTTTGTTCTCATTTTTTCCCCATAACCCTGCCCTCCCTTCAACCCCTCCTCCCTTCCCTATTTACAAAAGCATTTTTTCCATTTTTTAGTTTTCTCATATTTTTTCTTTTTCCCTTATAATCTATCATCCAAGGTGGTGTAGTTTACTTTGTTATCATAATTGAGTCTTATAAAAAGAAAATGGCTTCACTAGGTCCCATATGCTGAGTCCCCAAATTTATCTCAGTGTACCAGACAAATGTTGTTATTTTCTGTTGGGAAACACTAGTATAGGTAACTTTTCCTTTATTATATGTTTTGTTGCAAAATATCTTCTAGTTTAATTACAAACTAATTGATTACACATTTGTCATAATGTGTAGTCGCTATTATACATAGCAAACCAAACTGGTAAAAAGCTATATGATAACTGGAAAATGTTAAAAGGAAGTTACACATTTTTATTTTTATTAGTGCATGTTCGTAGTACATAGTGATTACATCCTTCATGGGGAGTTGGTACAGATACATCTTAATTCCTATAATGTCATCATTCTCTACCCTGAATCTATCCCTCCTCCATCTCTTGGTGCCCTTCCCATTTGGGAAAGATCTAACTCCCTGTTTCTTATTATCTTTTATTTTTCTCATTAATTTATTTATATTTGGGGTTCTCAGATAAGAAAAAACATGTAATTTTTAAGCTTGTGTGTTTTATTTCACTCAACATTCTGATCTAAAGGTGCACTTTTCTTTTAAAGTAGTCTCATCCTGTTGCTCACACTGGCCTTAAACTCTTGGGCTTAAAGGATATTTTTGCTTCAGCCTTCCAAGTAGCTGGGACTACAGGAGCATGCCGCCATGCATACCTCTCATTCCTATTAATGCCTTTTAACATCTCAGAATATTATTGTGTAAGGCTAGAAACCTTCTTTGTGTTGACCTGAATGCTTACATATTCATTTTGCAATAAGTCATTAAGGACACTGTTTGTTGTTCATGCAGATACATATATTATTTCACAGTAACAAAAGATTTAAAATGTGGGAGGGGATTAGGGCTGGGAATTTACCTCAGTGGTAGGTGCTTGCCTAGCATATATAAGGCTCTGAGTTCAATCCTCACTGTCACAAACTTTTTTCTTAGGCTTAAAAGATGCTGTAATGACCAAATCAAATAGGCAAGGCAAGAAACTAAAAGGAGATGGGAGAAAAAGTAAAAAGAGTCAACAAACAAACAAAAACATGACAAGAATAAGTCAAAATATATCAGTTGTAACCATCAATGTCAATGGCCTCAATTCACCAATCAAGAGAAACAGATTGGCAGAATGGATTAAGAAGCAAAATCCAACAATATGTTGTATACAAGAAACACACCTAGTGCAAAAGGAAGTCCATAGACTGAAAGTGAA